GTCATCAGAGACCGCCTCCTGGTAGTGGGAGGAGTCAACCAGGTACACTTAGTATAAGTGGAAGGGTTATGTATAGTCTGTAGAGTAAACCAGAGAATAGTTGCATTACCTCACTGCTGAACAATCAGGACAGCTGTTGGTATCCATAGTGACAGATGCTGTCTCTCATAAGCAACCCACAGTTCACCTGTTTATTTGTTTCTAAACCTCAGCGAGCAGCTGTGATTTCATGCCGAGCGGCACTCTGTGGTGAAGGACTCGTGAGGAGTAATACGTTCTGAAAAGGACCTTAACAGTCTGACTACCTGCTCACTGCACATCTGTCCCATTGAGATAGAGCCTCTGCTGATCTGAGCCTGCTTTACACAAAGTAGCTGTAAGTGGGCTGAAAATAACATACTTAACTATCCAGTTAAAAAGATCTTTATTTGCACATCCATGCATTCTTCTTCTTGTCAAAACTTGGCGACTACATTACCCACAATGCAGCCATATTTTTTTTGCTTTTCCTTCTCCAGTGGCATCACCTGAGGACATTTGTCAGACTTCACGCAGCTCCCTCTGGGACCTCAAATGACTTTTTACAAAGTTTTTCCACACATGCAGTAGTACTCCTTGTTACCTGTAAACAGACTTTGATGTGTAAAAGCTCTGGAGTTTCCCTTCGAGCGCACTTTATAAAAAGCCTTTTTTGAAGTAATGTGAACAGAAAAACAAGCAGGTCTCTGTTGTGTGTCAGGTTCTGAATTCAAATCCACAAACAGCAGCAAAAGCTCCCCTGGCAGGAACTCCACTGCTTAAATAGTGAAAGCAGAATTATACTATTTAATATCAGGTTCATAGTGAACGAGCTCACTGCCTTAGAGGCCTGGAGACCAGCCAAATACAATCCCTCATCTGATTGCTTTGGTTGTTATAAGACTGCAGTGTTAACTTGTAGTTTGCATGAAAGATGCAGACCGGACTCACCTTTTACTCTTCAAGCTGTTTTGGAACTTGAAGATGTTTGACACACGATGGAAACAGAGCATGTTGAACTTCACTGTAAAAGTAACAAAGCAAAACCAACATTTTTCACTGCAGATCATTTATCTGAATTTCAGGAGCTGGGCTTCCCTCCAAACACTCTACTTTGAATGATGCATCTATTAATTAACGTCCATTTATTTTTGTTTCACTGCTCCATCCTCCCTCCCCCTCTTCTCTGATGTCACCATCTCAGAGGTTTTGGAGGATTTGTCCACATTTGGGGTCGGGATCCTCGGTAGTGAAAAGGTTGACCCACCTCTAGGCCTGTGTGACTGGGGCCTAACTCTGTATTTAACAAGGAAAAGGTTTCGTTTTCAAACACCACAAATCTATTAAGCGCAGCATGCATTTAAATGTCGTTTTAGTTTAGAGGCGTTATATTACATCACGTACTCCACTAGTGTTTATTTCAGTTTTAAATAATCTCTCTGAGAATATATGTAGACTCCAAATCATTCAACCTCTGTTAATATGAGTAAGAAAACTGTATTAGCTGATAATAAGCAAATGTACACTGCACATTAATGGGAACCATTTGTCAGTGGAGCAGATTGTGAGATTCCGTATTCAGCATTTTTCCAATTATTTCCAATTAAACAGCAGTGCAGTGTTTTTCCTGCGTAGAGAAAGAACTAAAAGATGTTTTAGCAGAACAAAAACCACCAACACAGTCTTTTTAATAACCAGGTTTTTTAATTGTACTCTTGATGTATCCAAGTATAAAAGACAGCGAGACACATAGAACTGTTAAATAAAGTAATACACTCACTGATCGACGCAAAATGACTGACATGCATGCGCAGTCACGCTCCCGCCAGCCCCATCGGAAGGCTGAGTCCGATCTGGAAAAAGGCCAGAGTATTACTTCTAACTATTTACCTTTAAAATAAGTCCATCTCTTGCTTTGTCACCAGTCTGTGGTCCTGAGCAGTAACCTGCTCTGTAAAAGCAGCTCCAGTTCACGAGTGATAGCCTGTCAACACTGAAGTGGACCGTGCTACCAGCAGGCTAGGAGGAGCGGACATGTCCGCTGAAGGTAGTAAGTTTATTTCAGGTGAGGGAGGAGGAGGAGGGTCAGGTAGCAGTCAATAACAAATTTATAGTCAACACAGTCGTATCTATTTCTATGTATGCCCAGTTTCCAGGTTACGCTCGGAAAAGGTTAAACTCAGAATGGCATGGTAGTTAAAGACATTGATCAGTTTTGACCATTTGATTAAATCCTGGATGGAGGAGATAGGATCTGGGAAGAGTACATTTAATAAACATAGCATCACTAAATGGAAAAAGGGGCACATTATGTCAGTGAAGGCAGGCCGACAACAGCAGAGCAACATCATCAGCAGTTTCATACCTGCAGTCCAAGCTGCACCATCTGCTGGCAAGAACGAGCGATGCTTCAGTAGCAGCACATACACAAAGTTCAGGCCAGCATCATATATGCTTTCAACTGTTTCAACAGTCCACGTATCACCAAATCTGATGAGGAGCTTCAGTCAAAGTCAAAAAGACTTTATTTATGTAAAGTCCATGTAAAGTCCTGTCCTCTTCTACGTACTGAAGGTTTAGATTTAAATGTATGCTTCCAATTCAGTTAATAGTTGAAGAGATTGACAATGAAACAACACAACAGCACAAGTGCTTCATACACAGTCACAGAAATAAGCAATAAATACTCCTTAGACTGGCTGACTCAGCTCACTAAAACTAAAACAGCAGCACATATCTTAGCTAGTTTTTGTTTATTGTTCTTCATTAATAGTGTTTTGTTTTTAGCTACTAGCACTAAACACTGAGGGTTTTATTGCTGTGTTGAAATTTTGGACCAGTCTAGAGATTAATTCATTCACACATTTCCAGACGCTGTCAGTCATTGATGACAGATTTGAGTGGTTTAAGACAGTCAGCCTGTACATAGAAAAATGGAGCACTGTGTAAAACTGTTGGAGAGGTTTTGTGTATAAAATGTCTCTTTTCCCAGTTTTGTAAGTGCAAGCTGAGCCTTAGCTAAACATTGTTTCTGTTTAGCTACCAATTACCTGAGAGTGCAAATGGTTCATCCACGTGACAGACAATATTGGACACATCCAAAAAGATCATATTACATCAAAATGCTTCACATATTTACTAAGAATGGGAAGAAAAGTAAATTATTACATTGAAGTCAGGGACCAAATGTGTATTTTAATTTATTTCATATATCTGGATTTAGTTTCTATGGAGACATCTCTTCAGCCTTTGACGGCCAGTCTTTTCTTTCAGGTTCCCAGCTCGGCACACGAGATCCTCTACATTAAAGAAGAAGAGTATCTGTAGCCTGTAGTGACTGACGCCCAGATGATCGCAGATGAGCCGTGATTCCACTTCCTCCTTCCCGAACACCCGTTGTGACTGTAGTGCAATATTTAAGAACCATCACAAACACTGAGAAATGTGTGCAAGTCTGGCTGCCTGATGTAATGTATCGGATAAGACTGCCCCCTGCTGGGCGTAACTGGCACTGAGCCCCACATCTCAGCACACAGATGCACAATGGAGGAGCTGGCTCTTTCTTTTTACCGAGCTGATTCTTGATACCTTTATGTATGCAACACTTCTGCATTGTACACTGTAGTGCATACTTGAGGAAGGAACTATTTTGTAGCTATCGTGTCTATTCCTGTGGACAGAAGATACGTGGAAGATGTATTTATATTGCATATATAGCGGTTTCATATCTGCATTCATTTGATTTACGTGTAGCTTGCCGACTATTGAGCAAGGGTAGATTTTAATTTAGCTAAATGACACAACTGCAATCCTTATCTCTAATTTAATATGATCTAGAAACAGTTGAGTGTTTGGTTAATAAAATATTCAGTAACAACATTTGCACTGAATCAGTCAACACTGAGTGGGAGCTTTGCCTTCAATTATTTCTAGTGTAATGTGTTGTAGTAATTACACTTAGAATGCTGTAATAAAACTCCTCTGTGCTGTAATAGTGCACATTTGTGGCCAAATGTAACACTTTGCATCCATGAAATGAGACTTGTGTTAAATAACCGTGTTTTTTGTGGTTAAACTAGTTACTGAATTGCTGTTATAAGCAAAGGAAGGAATCCTGTGGGACTTACGGGATGATTGTAGACGTTTTATTCCTGCAGCAATACACTTTCTCTGCGTTTTATAATGTTGTGTAGTGCAGTAGTATTGTAGTCGTCTCACTCAGGTTATGTTCTAGGTTGACTTTTGTTTGTCTGTTCTTGTAGCTCACA